AACCACCTCTGGCCCTTCCAGCACCTTGCCCTCTACCACTTCTGGTGCACCGAGCACTACGCACTATACCACCGGCACCAAGACTGTCCCTCTCAGCATCACGCCCTCCACCACCTTGACTGCTACCAGCGCTACAAACTCTACCACTGACACCCCCTCTGGAGCTCCCAGCACTACTCACTCGGCCACTGGAACCACCTCTGGCGCTCCCAGCACCATGCCCTCCACCACCTCTGGCCCTGCTATCACTACCAACTCTACCACTGGAACCACCTCTGGCCCCCCAAGCACCATGCCTGCCACCAATTCTGGCCCTCCCATAACTACGCACTATACCACCGGCACCAAGACTGTCCCTATCAGCACCACTACCTCCACCACCTCTACCGCTCCCAGCGCTACTATCTCTACCACTGACACCTCGTCTGGCGCTACCAGCACTACTCATTTGGCCACTGGACCCACCTCTGGCCCTCCCAGCACCATGCCCTCCACCAATTCTGGTGCTCCTAGCACAACTCAATATACCACTGGCACCATCTCTGGCCCTACCAGCACCACACCTCCCAACACTGGCACTACCTCAGAGGCTCCCGGCACCACGCCCTCAACCACCTCTGGCCTTCCCGGCACTGCTCACCCTACTAGTGGCACGACCTCTGGCTTTCCCAAAACTACTCACTCTATCACTGGAACCACTTTTGGTCCTCCCAGGACTACACACTATAACACTGGCACCACCTCTGGCCCTCTCAGCACCACACATTACAACACTGGCACTACCTCAGAGGCTCCCAGCAACAAACGCTCTACCACCTCTGGCCCTTCGAGCACCACTCCTTTCAAAACTGGCACTACTTTAGAGGCTACCAGCACCATGCCCTCCACCACCTCTGGCCCTGCTATCACTACCAACGCTACCACTGGAACCACCTCTGGCCCCCCAAGCACCATGCCTGCCACCAATTCTGGTGCTCCTAGCACTACTCACTATACCACTGGCACCAACACTGGCACTACCAACACCAGGTCCTCCAACCCCTCTGGCCCTCCCAGCACTACTCACCCTACCACTGACACCACCTCTGGCCCTCTGAGCACCACACATTACAACACTGGCACTACCTCAGAGGCTCCTAGCACCACACCCTCCACCACCTCTGGCCCTCC